TGTGCAGCTCAGATAGAAACTGTAACCCTGATCTCATAAGAATGCCATGAAACTCTAGAAGCCCTTGGCTAGAGGTTAGATCAGATCAGCATCTCGTAAATTTTCAGGCTGGCAACCTCTCAATCAAAAGGGAACCAAGAAAAAACTCACAATCACTTTCAACTACTGTTAAAACAAGACCAGAGAAGTATTGCTTACTGTTTTCATTTTATAGATAGGAAAAGAAAAATGAGCTACCTTTCTTGGTGTAATACAGCAATTCCACACCAGAGCTGGACAGATGGCTACCTTTTTAGGGATAAAGACCAAGGACAAGGGTAGGAATTGTGAAACTCAGTAGAACTAACACAAAGAATGCAGGCAAGTACATGGAGTTACGTTCATCCAAAAAGGAGCTAGAGATGGGAGGAAGGACTACCAAAGGAAAGTCAGAAAATAGTAACAGCTGAAAAGAGTGCAGATGTAGGGATAGCAGGTCAGAAAGCAGTATTCCAATGAACAGGTTGGGAAAATGTCAGAGTTAAGGTAATAGTAATCAGATAAAAATGATCAGCAAATCATTCAACCACCATAGAGCATCATCCCAACATTTCATTCTGGACGTCCAATGTGATAGACAAAGGCAACACCACTTTCACTCATCAATATACTCACTGTCAACAATGAGGAAACATGCGAGTTTCCTCTGAAAATCAGAACAGTTCCCCTTTAAGCCTCTTCCTTACATGGTTGACCAATTTCTTACACTGTAAGAAACAGTATAAACTCCTCTATAATACACTTCAAAATTTGAACTCTGTTCTTCAAAAATATTCTAAGAGTAAATGTTAAGGGCTCAATCTTGTCTTCCATTGTGCAGCATACGCACTGAACATCTTGGAAAAACACTTTCTGAGACTGCATTCAAAACCTCAAAGTGTTTTGTGCTGTATAATGAAAACAAGACCATATCATTTTTGCACAAACAAGGTAATTAGTACCTTGCATACACCCATAAGAAAAAAATCATTAAATTATCCTAAATAACCTTAGAGCTGCCACGTACTAATCCTGCAGAGAAGATTCCCTCAAATCCTGAAAAATATATCATTTTTTTACGATATATTTTAACTCGCACACCATATTATAGCATTCATAGATTAAATATTGATTCATTTCTACAATCCTCAAGACAGAATAGCAAAAGTATTCACCTTCTTCTATCCTTTTTCTGTATCTAAAACTCAATTCATCAACTGTTCATTCTTCCACTTGTCAGGACTCTTTCAAGGGCTGCTCTGAAAGTAATGCTTCTTATGTTATTACGTTGGCCTATGATGTCAGAGGTGGATGTTGGAGGTATGGCAGTTGAGGTTGAACCTCCCACCAAAGTTCCACTGCACTTTGTTGCTGTGTGACAGATGGCAGCAGAGGAGCAGTCAGGCAGAATAGCATCTGACATGGAGCGCGCAGGAAGCAAAGGTGTATCACTGAATTCCTCCAAGTGGAAAAAATGGCATTCACTGACATTCACTGATGCCTCCTGAACATCTATGGAGACCAAACAGTGAATGCGAGCACAGTGAGGTGGTGGGTGATGCGTTACAGCAGTGGCAACAGTAACATGGAGGAGCCATGCAGACCGATGGCAGTGCAGATTTTTACCAGTGTGGCACACAGGCTCTTGTTCACTGCTGGCAGAAATGCATAGGCTAATGGTAGTGGCCATGTTCAAAAATAGTGTTTCATAGCTCAGAATTTGCTATACCAAATAGATTTACTGTCCTCTTTGCACCTGTTGTAGTTTACATTGAAATAAGTAGGAGGCATTACTTACGGAGCGACCTATGCATTTGTTCACATTTTCCTTTGGACCTATGGATTGCATCTACAACCTCTTTTGACAAGTTTCACAAATCTACCACCTGCCTCAGTAGCTGCAATCTTTTTGTGCTCTCTGCACCTGCCTCCTGCCAACCTCACAGCATGGCCCTTTATTCTTCCCTGGAAGAGACAGTCAGCCCCTCCACTCCGTATCATTCACAGCTTAAAGAGTCACAACTCTCCAAGCATGAAAAGCTTTTGCTTACCTAATCATTCCCCACAGGAAAACTATTCCAGACTCAAAGATTCCTGCAAGAAAAAGCTCTGCACATATGAAGAAAAGGTTTTGTGTACTGCAAACTGGATTAAAACTAAGTATGTGACACAAATACAGAAATGTATTTTATATTCAATATCCATAGAAACACAATTAAAAACCCTACAGCATATCTTTTCAGAATTAAGTAAAATCCAATGCCTTATCCACCCCTCATTTTAACTACTGTTCATAATGATATTATATTGGAAAATGTGGGTTTTTTTAAAGACTTGAATTATTTTTCAGAAATGAAATTCAAACAAGAGCTATTAGTTTAAAACCCTACATGATCATCTTCAAGTTCATAGTATGATATGGAAGAAAACTGCATATCTACAAGCTAAGTAGAACTTTTAAATGTGGAAATTGGTTATTCAAATGAGAAAAATCCCCATTTCTCATTCATTACCAGAATTCACATCAATTGGCAAACGATTCTACTATCTCAGCATATTCAGAAGTCAGCAGAGTTTAGAGAAGTCGAAGTCAGACTCTTAAAAATGTTTGCCACTGGATGACAAAATGGTTCCCCCAGATTCTCCACAGTTCCTGATAACCATAAACACTGTAAAGATCTCAGAGAAGCCCACAACAGGCAACAGCAACCACAAAAATCTGACAGCAAATAAGTACAGAAAAAAAAAAAAAAAAAAAAAGCCTTATCAAAAAGACAGGCAAGTAGTCAAAACTGTCAGGACAGAGTGGTTCCTGTACAGAATCCTAGCTAGTTTACTACAATCTCAGATGACGATCAATAACTTGATATGCCAAGTGTCTGTGGAAAGGGATGTCAACAACACAAATTTACAAGTGAGCCCAGGTCCCTCTGATAAAGCAACATTTTCCAAACCTAAATGCCCTCACATATGCCCTGTAGACAGAAAACTTAATGAAGTACACAATGCTCTGCAATGAGGACAGAAGCACACCAGGTAACATCCCTGAAGTTCTTTGCCTCAGAAAGTACAGGCACGTTTGTATCAAAGCATTCTCACAATGAGCACTCCCTCAACATCTGTAGACAATGCTTTTCCTTTTGTCACTCATTAGACCCCTCAGATAGACTTAATACTACTGTAAAATCTCAATTGTAGAAATACTGCAGTATTTTCATCTTCTATTCATCAGCCACACTATTGTCTCCAATCATCTATTTTCCAGTAAAAGTAAGTAATTAAATATCAGCACTCAACTGTATTACAGGCAATAGCATATTCTTAAGCTTAGTGATCTTAGCATTCTCTTGAACTAGGAACAAAGTACTTCACATTCAACTCAAATTTTCAAAAATATTTACAATCACAAATGTTAAAATTTTCTGTATTTTACATTTCTTTACACTAAATGAATTCAACTCTGCTATAGCATAATAAATTTTGCGAACTATTTTGTAGCGATACTATAGGATAGCTCAAGTTTTCAAGCAGTACTTCCTATTAACACAAGGAGTGTTCCTATGAACACTTGATGGAAAAAATATATATATTCACTTGTGATTACTACTTCCCCATTCTGTTGCAAAGGGATGCAAAATTGAACATACTAATTTCCAATAAGATAGTTTTAAAAGAAATGCAACAGTGTAATGATAACCTATAAATCATGTTGAGTTGAAAGGACGTATGTTGCTATTGTGAAAGATAGTCTGAAACAGAAACAGCTACTACTGCCTGCTGGTACCTGGCATCCACAGTAAACTATCTGAAGCAATGATCGGAGTCCCACTGCTCTTCATTTATATTCAGAGAAAAGTTTTTGATTATACTTTTCCTTCTAAATTTTCAGTACCAGTAAGTCTGTAACTTACAGTATGAAGACACCATTACATACCTGAAACTGTGCATCAAAGGGTACGTGGGAAATCTAATGCACATGCCATGTTTAAATCTGTTTGCATATACCACCAGGAGAACACTGCCTGTAACCCACCATTTAAAGAGAACAAGAAACAAATGCCAAAGCATCCCTATAAAATATTCATGCAACACCCTCATCTAGCAACATCAATTACTTTATCTATCTCCTGCATCGTTAGTTGCAAGTCTAATAACACTACTCAGCAGGCAAAGGATTTAATGAAATAGACCCTGAGCTCCTGGGAGGATCACCTGTGGTTCCAACTCTAACACTTCTGATCAAATACAAGTTTCCTTCCTGCTGTTGAGCAATAGGCTTTCCTGGATCTTGATCAAACATGCCCCTAAGTAGGGAAGGTGTAGTAATACAGTGTAAAATATTCAAGCGTATCAGGGAATAAATGATTGTAGTGAAAGGGAAGAAGAAACTATTTCAAAAATAAGAGAAATTGACAGCTTCTACTTTAGGTAACTTGAGCTGCAAAAACCAGTATACACCAATTATTTCAGCAAGCTACAACCCAATGAAACATATGTTAACCATCAAAAATTAACCACATGAACAAACACCAGATACTTCTTTACACTGTTAGAGGCTCCCATTTACTACAAATACTCTCAATTCTGTTCCCTATCTAAAGCAAAGACATCAAGATATAAATATTACAGAATAAACGCTTCTCAATGGCTTCCTAATGAAAGCAAGGCTCAAAATAAACAGCATTCAAAAAAGAAAAAAGAAACTCATCAGTGAAAGCTGCCAAGTTCTCTCCCCAGTGTTTCACTGACTAACAAGTCCAAGTGCTGTCTGCTTCCTGCTCCTTCCAGTGCAAGACTGTAGAGGGGACAATCTGACTTCCTTTCCTCTCCAGAAGAGAGAAAAAAAATCCTTATTTACCCTTCTAAGTTAGCCTAAATATCTTTACTTTGAAGTCTTGTGCATTCCAGTCATGAATTTCCTTTAAACAAGTAGACATTTTCCTGGGCTCTGCGTGAACTTCACATTCTAGGGAAAATCTTACCTAATTTCGGCAGGGAATAGGGCACTTTAAAATAATCTTCATAAAATTCAATGAGTCTTCTTGTAATATTTAGGGCATAGTCTCCTGATCCTCTTCGGATTGCATCAGGCCTTGCGTACAATCGTACCTGTTAAAGAACAAAGTGAAAGACTGATCATTTCAGTGCCTACATAGGAAAGTTAAGCTACCTGCAGAGGTGAAGCATTCTAAAGTTATTGTGAGGTGGCAGGTTTATTTGCCTTTCTCCAAATGTTACTGTCATACATTTGTCAAAACACGCTGCAGCTGAAAATCATAACGTAGACAACTAAGGTTAAAAAGTTGAGAAGTCAAAATCTCCTGCTTGTTTATGTTGCCATATCAAAGTATTAACACCGCTTGCATCAAAATACTTCAAGAAAACACATGTGTTTGCTAGAGATATGATGGCAGAGTGGATTAGTATAATGGTTCTCTGCCTACACTGAATGTAGGCAAGATGCAGTGGCTCAGTAGGAGAGAAGTTCACTGTTTGTTAAAGGCACATTATAGCAAACTGAAAGTATTAGCACTCTGTGAAGAAAAAAATAAAGAACATTCTCCTTTCTTTTCTCTGGCAGGACACAGCTACCCTCGATGAGCCACGTAAGACTGCAAAAACAACTATTCATAAGCTCATTTGTGTTCACGAACAATTAACATTCCTCAATCTTACACAACTGCTTCAGGTCTCTGCTTTTGGAGTGCAATAAGTTAAAGCTGTTTATACAAGCTGCTGTGTTCAGAACAGAAAAGCTCACACATCTGACTACATTGAGTGCCAAATGTGCTGACCAGCTCATGTTCAATGAACAAGGTAACACAATGCATCATGAGGCTATCCATTATTCCCAGTCTTTCTGTTCTTTAATGCTTCCTTATGACAAAGACAACATACAGCTTATGACAACCGTTAACCACAAAGGCTTAGAAAGGAGGGCCTCTTTCAATACTCCTCCCTCATACACAGCCTGATGGTCTCAGCAGGGATGGGAAGAAGTGTGCTCTGTCTGTGGTGGCTGGGGCAGAAGGCCTCTCCCTGCAGCTCATAATGACCAGTCCAAAATGATTCTCTATAAAACGACAGTTCTAATAATAATAGAAGTCTCTATTACTTCCCATGGCAGGATTAAATCCCACCCAGGGATCCAAGGAGAGCAGCAGGGCAGAAATCAGAAAATACCAGTGCAAACATGAAGTGGAAATATCAGTTTTGAAATATTTCTAAATGCTCTGTTCTGGACCAAGAAAAACCCATGGGATTTTCAGCTTCAGTGAAAGCATTGCTAAACAGTGCTTTACTGCTCATTTTCTGAACCAATATTCAGTTAGCCAAGTAGAAATCAGATGTCAAACCTCAATTCTGCTTTAATCCATTCTCTCTTTCTAGGGGGTAGTTAGCAGCAAAGAATGATGACTGAGTATCTCCATCATTATATCTTTGTATTCCATTACAGAGCCAGTGCACAATCAGCCATACATAGTTAGGATTTGTAAGGTAAAATGAATAACACTGTGTAACTTAATGAGACATGTAATAATGCAGAGTTCTCATAATCACCACCTGAAAGCACATAAAACCTCACCAGAACTCCTCCAAGTCACTACTTCCATTTATTGCTTCCTTCCAAACTTCACAGTGGCTTTATTTTAGACATTTTCTGTCTGCCAAATTAAGCATATTTTCTAAAACCAGAGATTAACCACAGTTACAAATTAAAACTTCTTGAAACCTTTAGTTTATGAAAAGATGGTAAGAACTGCAATTAGATTTGTGATGAACACTGCCATGTATCATTAAACCTTTACACACAATTTTGCATAATTATTTTACTGGCACAGTTGACTGTATCAGTATATTAGAAAAAGAAGACTTGGTCAACCAAGTATGCAAAAATCATTGTTTGACAGTGGCCAAATATGTCTGTTATGAAAAATTGGACAACAGAAGGGACTCAAATAAGGACGTAGAAGAAAAATCAAAGTTCACCATACTGTATTACAACGTGTGCCTTCTGGCAAACACAGAAAAGGTATTTAAAGATGTTTAAGATTGGAGACAGATACCAAAACTCAAATAACACAATGCTGCAAATTTTCATTTTCTATCTACTTAATGTTGAGCACAGTCTTATTTTTCCAGTACACTTTCCCTGGTGCCTCTCTGCCTGCCTTGCACAGCTCCAGACTGACAGTGCTGCACTGCTGAACACAGAGATCACACCTAAGCTTGAACACAGTTCAGAAATTATCTGTGTCTTTGCCCAGGTCTCTCTTGGGCATTCCCAAGGCATGCCAGCAATCTTCAAATGCCAGAAAAGCTCCACACAAAATGCAGTTAATGTTGATACCTCCCTGCACAACACATCTTTGGCTGCTTCACAGGATAATTATTAGTTTGTTTGCCTAAAACCAGGAAAGGTCTTTTAGATTTTAACTTCTCTCATTTTCTTAAAAAAAAAAAAAAATTCAATATTGCATATTCCAAAAATGTACCTTCTTTATGGGCATTTCTGAATAACAGTGGTTGCATAATGGTGTAGTCTTCATCTAACACATCTGATGGATGACACTACCCAGAAAATAATTCAGAATTATGTCCAGAAAGGGTGTGAAAGAAAATGAAGGGAGTGAAAAGTAACCAGGCAGTGGGGATACTCATGCCAGAAGGGCACTCACTCTACCAGGAGCTGCCTTCCACCTGAACAGCCTCAGAACATAATATGCATGAAGGAACCCTAGACTCAGAAAATTACCCCTGGGTTAGCAGAGGGAATACAGACGTTCTGGAGCATTAAGTGATACAGACTGTAGAGTGTTCAGACAGTGCTCTAACAAGAAGTGTCAGCAGATAAAACAGAACGAAGATTAAGACACGAGATTTGTGTTTAGCATATTTTTTTGTTTGTTTGTTTACTGCTTTCACTTCAGAAGGCAGATAAGCTGCATTACTTTATAGGTATGTTGGACTGAACAACAATACATAATTATTACATATTTTCCCACAGGCTGTTTGATCATTATGCTAAGAATTTGATTTTACATTAATTTAAATAATAAACAAGAATTTTTTCTGCAGGGTCAGACCTAAATATAAATAAAAGTAGTATGTGTCCTGCTAGGAAAGAAAGAGGCCTCTGGACTAGTTGCAAAATTCATCAAATACTGCAATGGCACAAGTAAGAAAGAGTATAAGGACTATTCAGAAAGAAAGGATTCACAGCATTGATATTCACTTAAAAATAATGTTATTTTCTGATTTCTTTAGCTTTCTTCCATATTTTTGCTCCATTAACCAGATCTCACACACATTCCTACACATGTAAATCTGAACACCCTTTAGAACTTGATACAAAGTTGTCTAATAATCTGTTTTACAACTTGAGCTAGTGCTTTGGATGCATGCTCTATTTTTCCTACCAAAGAGTACATGTTCACTCTGTGAGTTGAGAGAGAAAGGTGCCCTAGAAGACTTGTGCCCTAGAAGACTTGCAAAGCTTCTTCCACAGTACGAGTGGTTATCTAAACAAATAAAGTCTCTTCTTGAATGCTTCAGAGGCATCCTTTTATCTTCCTAGCCTATAATACAAACTTAATCACTCCCTTTAGAAGCCCATTTTGGTAGAGACCTAAGACAAAGATACAAATTAGCTGCCTGTGTCAAATGTACTCGCATCCAGTTCATGACCTTGTCTTCCATCAAAATCAGTATAATTACTTGCTTATGTCTGGCTGTGTATCATAATGAATGTTTACACAGTGGTACAAGATCAGTGCTCACAGTTTTCCGGAGCTTGGAACTGTATGGGCAATGTTAGAAATAATTCTTCATGCCATTAATAACTACAAAACATAACTACAGAAAGCTACAGCCGCCAAGTTAAGGATTTAAACAAGTTTATAAAGGTTCATTGTAAGACAACCCACACAACTCATATCCTCTTGCATACCTGTGCAGCCCTTGATTACATCATCGCATGATGTCTTTTACTACATGACATTTGGCTCTTTCAACAATAGACAGTTATTTGATTTTCTTTATTAGCCTTTTTATATGGTAACCTCTGAGTATGCTACAGCCTTGAAAATATTACTGAAGCTCTTTTCCACAAGCTTTGCAAGATTAAGTGATATTATTACTTTCACGTAAGAAAGTGGAGAACAAAGGAAGACAGAGTTATTCTGGGTACCTGCCTTGACACCTCACCATGTCAAGTATACTTAACATTTTTATTGCACGCACTTAAAGCACTGTTCTCATTACATCTTACTGCAGTAGTGAACCCTACACAGCCTTGAGTTTGGTCACGGATGTCTTAGTTCAGGTATTAAGAGAATTAATAACACATGATTGGTGACTAAATGAGACTGTGTCAGTTTATATAACTTGCTCAGAGGCAGAGACAGTGAGGAAATTCAAAGACGGTAATCAGCCTCACAACCACCTAAAAGCCTGCACCAACCTCCTTCCAAGGGTGGTGAAGAGCAAGGTGGGGATCATTGATCTAACAGGCATATTCACTACACAGTGGTGCTGTCCTGATGCTGCGTTGCTCCTCTTGTGTCTGAATGAGGTAAACACAGGAAAGATTTTATGGGGGATCATCCTAGCAATTACCACAGTATTGTGAGTACATGGACAAACCAAAGATCGTACAAAGTAAATTCTGCTTTTCCTTAGCTCCTCTCCCCCTTTATTTGACACCATTAGCAATTTTCTAACTGAACTTGACTATTATGAAAAATATCCAACTCCCTTATAAATCTCTTAAATGGAACCACCCCTTCCTAACACTAGTTTGAATAACTAGATTTGCATCCTCAGCCCTATGCACCTTCTGGCATTTATTTGTTGTTGTTTTTAAGCAGCACAGCCCCAGATGGAAGACGTGACACATTTTCACTTTTGTGAATAGCAGAGCAAGTAGTTAAGAGTTTACAAATGAAATTGCTGCACCGCACATTTTCTCCTACTTTTCTAGCATAAGCAAAACAACACTGCTTTCCCTAGTTTCCTTTCCAGCAGCTCTGGGCTAATTTCATTACAACTTCAGATAATGACAATACAACAGCCACAATCAGATACCACCATGGAAAAGTCATCCTTGA